TCATCACCAGTGCAGCTGACAGCATGCACACTGCAGTAACCGGAGAGAGAGGCCCAGATGCCCACACATGCTGGTTCCCAGTTCTAATCCAGATTCAGATGGTTAAATCCATGTTAAATAGCTCAATCACTTCCTGTCTGCAGGGTGATGTCTCTGCATGGAGAATCAATCCGCATGAGGAGAACATCTACAGTGTCAGCAGCCCCTCCATCCAGGCTGGAGACCCACACACCAGTGAGGGGGCACATCTGCTCTACGCCACAGTCTCCTACAGCACGGGGGCAGCCGCCTGCCACAGGACAAAAATCACACCAGCTGCTACCCACTGAAGTGTATGCCACCATCAGACACCCAAACACATAGTCTCTACTGGAACAATTATAATTGAATATATATTGATGAAATATCTTTGATAAATATGGTCCCTGTTATTGTAATATTTGTCATAAGGATGGAACTTTTTAAATTTAAACGCTTCCACTCTTACATGTAGGCTACCTGTGCCACATTCTGCCTCCAATACACTGTATAACATTTACCACACTTTACACCAGGGGTTTTCAAGTGTGGGGAGGTGAGCCTCCATTCAGAGGAGATCATGAAAACAGCTCCCCCAAATTACCGTTATTGTATTGTATGTTCCACTCAGCCATAAAAATGGCTTTCAACAATAAATATCTTAAGATAACACTTTTGCAACACAATTTCACTCTCACAGACTATAACACAATGATTTGTTTAAATAAATAGATAAAAATAAAATGAAATAAAAAATACAAGCAGTGTTCTCCCACTTTCACACTTAAACTGTGAGCTAGTCTTACTTAAAATTGTTTTATTTTGTCATTGGTAAATAGACAATAATTTTATTAAAATAGCCTCAGTTCAACAAAATCATACATTGTGTTGCAGCAGCTGTCTAAATTACCAATCAGCTGCTGAGCAGGAGAACAGGCACGTCTGTTTGTCTAAACAAGCTCGGCTTCCTATGTTTGGTCGCTTATTGAAGAAGCAAACCATCATCTTACCAGTCAGTCATAATGTAGAACACTGGGCAAAAATCCACACAACTTACTGGTCAACAGAAAAGAGGGCTCCCATCTCTTCTCCCTCTCCCACGAGCTGCCAAGCAACCAGCGCACGGATGATATTAATTAATCTGTCCTCTACTGCTATGCCCCAGTGACACACCCATACACACACACACACACGCACACCAACTGCATTCTTCAACTACAGTTCCCTCCTGACTCTCATCAGGCTCAGTGACTCTGCACCAGTGGCAGCATCTGGCCAAACCAAACCTGGGAGAGATTTGGTGGGCTTTCATGCATGCTGTATTGTCTTTGTGTATTCTTCATAGACCTGACCAAGTTAGATTTGAACTCATACTTGATTTTGTATTGGCATGATGGACCTAATTTCCTGTTACTCTGAACAAGGAACTCCTAAAAAAGAGTCTTTTCTTCTTCTCCTTTCGGCTGTTCCTGTTAGGGGTCGCCACAGCGAATCATCTGTTTCCATCTATCTCTATCCTCAGCATCTTCTACTCTCACCCCAATTAACTTCATGTCCTCTTTTAGCACATCCATATATCTCCTCTTTGGCCTTCCTCTTGACCTCTTGCCTGGCAGCTCCATCTCCAACATCCTTCTACCAATATAACCAC